TATGTATATATATATATATATGATTTTATTGAAAATTGATTATTCTTCTCTCATATGCTACATCCTGACCACAGTTTCCCAGTTTGCTACTTCTCCCAGGCCCCCACCAACTACCCTCTACCCCATATTCACTTCCCTTTATTTCCTCTTCAGGCCTCCAAGAGAAAACAGACCAACAGGACAAATAAGACAATAAGACAAGGCAAAAGCCCTCCAATCGAGACTTGACAAGGCAATCAAGAGCAGACAATAGAATCTGAGACACACCCACTCCCACTATTATGACTCACACAAAACCACCAAGCCATCAGCTGTACCATATACCTCATCAATAAAGAGTGTTTTAGACAGGTTATAGATATATAAGTGATCTTTCACCTCAGGGGCTCCAACCTTTAATCTGCCTTTAGGAGAAAGAAAATGTTTCCTAACGCATTGAACTGCTTTTTATCAGATAGTACGGACTTTCAACAATAACAAAAAAGTGTTTTAATGTTGTCTGGATATCATTAAGATTGCTATTTAGCTTTTACAAATTATGATTGAGTCACTTTTGTGAATAAGCGCATAAATGCGGATGTGAATATTGGTGTGCACATTCTTCTGTGGAAGTGTGGAGGTCTGAGGGTGATGCTGTGAGCTCACCTCCTCCACCTTTTTCATGAGTTCAGAGGCTTGAACTTACGTTTCCCACTTGCCACAGACAGCACCTCTAGTCACTGAGCCACCCCACTGGCCCAATATTATTATTTTCTAAAAGACTAAATAGAAACAAACAACCACTGCTCTGATATGATTTTGTCAACAAGATGGTTCTAAATATCAACTGAATTCTCATTCAGTGATTCAATATGCAATTATAAAGTATAGTGGTGGTGGGTTGAGGTAAAAGCTGCATGGTCTGGCCTAAGGGAGAGAAGATGCACCTAAACCCCGAGAGACTTGAGGCCAGGGTGGGGATGGGGGGGTGGGGTGAGCGCACTTCTGGTGAGGTGAGGTAGGTGGTATGGTGGGGACATCCTCTTGGAGACTGGGGAGGGGAGAGGAGGTATGGAATGGGGAGTAGACGGGGGCAGAATGGGAGGGGGTGAAAATTGGACTGTAGAAAAAGGATTAAAGAATTTAAAAAAAAAGGAAAATAGAACTAAGTCATTTTGAAATGTTACGAAATGTGTAAGGGATCAGCATCTCTAGTACATGACAGAGACCTGGATAGATTGAAATGTTATGAAATATGTAAGGGAAAGCATCTGTAGTACATGACAGAGACCTGGGATAGAGAAAATCCGGGGGGGGAATAAAATAAATACTTAAGAGTATAATTATAATTTTAAAAGAAAGAAATGTGAAACTAGTGTGAGTACTCACAGCTTTTAATTTCAAGTAGCACAATGAGTGCCTAGACCTAGTTTTTGTATCATGAGAATAAACCCATATAAACCTAACAAAATATTGAGTTAATAACTCAGTAAAGAGTAGATTAATAAAGTCATGATCCTGAAGCAATTCATAGAGTGTATATGTTATTGTTTATAGAAGTCTTAAGGCATTGTCATCCACACCGCTAAAATGTATATTATTGAAGTGTGTTCAAAGTACAATTGAAACTTGTAAGGAGTCTCATAAAGAGTCTTTACTGGAAGACTTTTCTGTTAATACATGTGTAAGACTGTTTTCATAGACATTTTTACTAAAAATGTAAAAGAAAACATGAGTATTTTCTACCAGCAAGACAAAGAACAGAAAATAGAGGAATGGCCAAGGTCAAGAGGAAATTTTTTAGATATCTGAGATGCTGAAAGCATTTGACTTATTGCAGAAAATTTGACAAACTTTCCCAATCAAAAGAGATATCAAAATGAAATCAGTGAAGTGGTGGTAAAAGATGCAGGGCTCCGAGTTTTCTTCCCCGTGGTTGTATCCACTTTCTTATTCACTTCGATGATAGAAATCCAAAGTGAAATCGAAATTACCCTCATTCTCTACATGTAAGCAAAACCAGAATTAGCTGGTAAACATTTTACGCCCTTCTCATCATGACCTTAATTTAGAATACACGGAGAGTATATCTTTGTTGCTATTCCATATTGTGAGAAAGAAACATGCAGGTACCTTTTAGATTTTTGAGTAGCATTTTTTTTATTTAGTGCTCTTCACTCTTAAATAGAAATCAACTGCTATTTTCCTTTACATTTTCAATTCACACTTTTTTTATGACTACACATAGAAATGAAAAGTGCAAAATGGTAATCTTCACATCTGTTTAATTCCTTTGGTTCCTTATGTAAATTTTCATTAGCACCAACTACTCTATATGTGAGGTTGCTTTGTCACCTAATTAAAAAGTGCAATGTGAGTCTCTGCCAATAGGCAGCATGATCAGCAGCTACGAACATGCATAAGTGCTCCTATCTCATGGGAAATTGATTCTTCCAAAGCTGTTTGATACCGACATGTGTGTCCAAGCATATGAAAAATATAATTCTCGGATTGGCTCCTCAACAGTTCTGTCTCCACTATATGAGAGCTTTAAAATTATACCCTTGTGTCCTTTTAATTCATATCCCTTACCGTTTTGATTGAATAATCACTGTAGAACACATAAAGTACTTCCCTTCTTTAAAAAAAAAAAAAATGAACAATGAACTTCTGTTATAGGAACCAAAGCCACAAACATGGAGGCAGTGGGGAGGTCAGATTTGCACATGTTCTAATCGATGCTCTTAAGCTCTCAAACTGTCAGGTTAGCTCAGCCTCAATCTTCCCTCAGCCACTCTGGAGTCTCACTATCAACAAACATCCAAGCATGAAGTGGATTCTTGCTTGCTCAGTGTCCAGGGAAATGCTCAGGGAGCTGTCTTCTCAGTATCTGCCATTGTCTCCAGAGTTATATATGTAGAGAGAGATGTAGGGAAGTAAATCCCAGTTCTTAACTGAAGGTGACTAGCACTTTGGCTGATTCTAGACATCAAGGCAGCAGGATCTAGTTAAAAATGATGAGATTTGAGTTTCGGTGATATAAACAAATCAGATAACAGGGTGCATCAACACTGTGCCTGCTATTAATATTTGTCTGTTAAAGTAATGAATGCTGACACAGAGTTATAGATGGTAAGAACAAAACAAGTTAGGGACATCTAACCCAATCTTTGGGACTGAAATAAGTCCCTTAACTTATTAGCGATGAGCTGGGACTAAGTCCAGGCTTTCTTATGCTTGCTCAGATGCAGTTTGGTGATTTTCTGCTCAGAAAGATAAGTCTCCTTCCATCATGGACTGTCTCTTGAAGCTTGGAGGAATCTGATGATGGGTTCAGTGGGAATTTGCTAAAACTACACTTTGAAAATAGTAGTTATATAACAAAGGAAAGTTTTACCACCATGAGATTTACAAACTGCAGAAGTTTTTCATTGTGCTAACAACAAAAAAAGGACCATTGTAAATTTGGTTTCATATTTTTACTGTCTTTAACATTTTATAGTTTATTTATAATTTAGGTACATTACCACCCATAATTGCAGACATATGCCTACTTTTCACAGCATGCAAACTATACGTATGTATGTACGTATGTACACACACACAAACACACACACACACGCACACGAACCTAATGGTACAAGAGCCACTTTTACTTT